TTGGTTAGACATCTATATAATTCATAAAACGATCCCCTCAATTGCTCTCTCCCTCCCCTGGCCCTCCACCTAGCCATCATATTAATGCTAAGTGCATTCCCTCTGCCGTGCTCCCCATCCCCGTGACCAAATGTCAACTACTAATGTGTACTTCTTTAACCTTTCACCCCATTCTCCCAGCCCCCAACCCCTCTCCCCTCTGCCCATCACCATATTGTCCACTAATAAAGCAAACTCACGTGTTCTAGGGTACTGCTTACTCGGGACACAAGGATCATGAAATGATGACTATCACGGCGATGGTGGTGGATTGGGGACAACAGTGCCGGCAGCCAGCTTCCACTGAGCACTTGCCGTGTGTGTATTTTGAATTTCCCATGCATTACTTAGAGTTTTTAAAAATCTAGAGGAATGGAAGTGAGCACACCATTTTGAGAGGTTGTGTGCACCATATGAATCTTGCGTCTTGCTAGTCATTCTAACCAAGAACCAGCGTCCCAACTTTTTGTCCATTCGGTTCAATATTTGTTGAGTTCTTTCAATGATCTGAGCACAATTTTTGGTGCTAATGATACCACGTTGAACAAATAAAATGCTTTTATCTTGGGCCTTGCATTTTCTTGAATAGGAAAGAGGATAAACAAGATGTTAAGTAAACATCTCAACTTGAGAAATGACAAAGTTCAAAAACTTAGGAATAAATCTAAATTTTAAATAAAAATAAAATCAATGGGAGCTGCCATTTTAGTGTCTACTATGTATCAAGAACTTTATAAATATTAATTGGTATTTTAAACCAACTCTAAATTTATTCTTTGATTCAGCAAAAGAAAAAAAATTATTAAGCTCCAACAATGTGTCAGGCATTGAATAAACAACAGTAAACAAAACAAATAAGAAATCAACTCTCAAAAAGGACAAGTATTTTGTCCAAGATCCAAATAAGTGGTAAATGGAAAAAACTGGAATTTAAAAATAAGTTCGTCTGACTACAAAGGTAGAAGCAGAGTTAGCAGTTATGAGGCTACTGAAGTAATCTTGGTGGCACAGATGAGAGCCACAGCAGAGAGGAGGTCAGATTCTCTTCGAAGTAAAGATGCGATCGCCTCACAGATTAAATGTATGTAAGGCAGGGGTCAAGAGTGACTCCGTGACGTGGAGGTTTTTGCTTATTCAGTGCAATTGAAATGGGGGCGGTGGCTGGGGGGCTTCAAGCGCAGCTGGTTTGGAGGAACATTAAGAGATTCATTTTGGATATGTGTAATTGGAGGTTTCCATTATACCTTCAGTGTGACTGTGTTGAGTAGACACTTGGCTATAAGTCTGAAGTAAAGGAGAGCAACTTGGATTAGAGATGTCATGTTGATAGTGACGAGGCTCTCATGCTTTAGATTGTCAAGGTTCAAGTGACAAAGTCGCCATTAGCTTATGAAAATTGAAGAGCCGGCCTTGGTTTTCAGACACAAATCTGGGCGAGAAGGTCATTGGCTTTTGTGATGCGAGGTGGATCTTGGTAAGCCTCATGGGAACGTCAACTTTGTTTTTGTTTTGCATTTTTATTTTGTTTATTCGTTTAGAAGCTTTGACTTTATTAAGTACTTGGAGAAATATTCAGCTGAGGTTGAAAATTGCATGCCAGAAAGCAGTGGTTCTTAAACTCTGGCGTGCTTAAGAATAACCTGTGCGTCAGAGCTTGTTAAAAACTGAGCCCCTGGGTCTCACACCTATAAAATGTTTATTCAGTAGACTGTGAATAGGGCCCAGGAATCACTTGTTTTTTCCCAAGCATCCTGAGTAAAATATGTTTTAAGTCTTGCTTTTCCAAACAAGAATTTTTTTCCTCCCTCTACCTTTGTATTAAGCTCTTCTTTCATTGCTCCTGTGATCGTGGTTTGGGTTTTTTGTGGGTGTTTTTTTTTTTTTTGTATTTCTGTATTTTATTAGAGGGCTCCCAGACCTCTCTGGCGTGATTAGAACCTGGATGTCAGTGTCAAAGTGAGAGTAGGGCAGTTGCCCCCACCGACACGCAGAATTTACAAAAGGAATCGAGATCGGCCCCGCTCCCCGGTACTCTTAGATACTTCAGCTGGATCAAGAACCTGAAAGGGGGCCAGAGTGGAGAGAAGGAGAGACCGTGGCCCTGCTGTGAGTCCCCACCCCCTCCCTTGGCAGGAGAGATGGGGAGCAGTGAAATTTTCTAACCCTGAGCCTGGTAGCAGGACTTCAAGGAAGACGCTCCAAGAGCTTTGAAATGTATTTCTTGCAGTCAGGGGATACAGAGAGATGGTGCCTGACTCTCACTTGAGACAGCTTAAGCTGACAGTGGGCTAGAGTTTCACCAACCCAGGAAATCTTTTGAGAAGAAAGGGGCCAACCCCTTGGCAGTAGAGACAGAATCTTCCTACGTTGGGGTGAGCTCATACTCTGAGTTTTCAGGGCCAACGCATGTGCACAAGTTTCTTGTGGATAGATGTGGGGCTCACAGGAGAGTTATGACCAGTGGAGTGACTCCGTCAGGGTCACAAGCGACCCCAAATAGAGACACATCCTTTCAGGTCGAGGAAAGTGTACCTGCCAGGGCATTCTTTATAGCTTCTACTTGAAGTTGATCTTCAGGCTGCTCACCCATAAGTCAATCAGGTTTTTGCTTCTCTTTCTAATTAAAAAATGTCCTCCCACCCCACAAATGAAATTGCTTCTTTGAGATAGACCACATAAAGGCAGGAATTTCATCTTCAACATGCACAGATATACTTCCTGTAAGGAGTTAGTCTTCTCCATCAAATGCACAAGGCTAAACCACTTTTCAATTAACTGATGTCTTCAGAAGTAAAGACTTAACCCTTAAGGATATAAAATACTCTAGATCAGCTCTGATGGGGCAAAATGGAACACAAAAAAACTATTGGTGCCAGAAGAGTTGGCGACAGCTTTGATGCTAAGGATACATAGGGTGGAGTTGAGGACATGGGTGGAAGTCAGGCAGTGAAATTATCTGACTCACCCATCAGAAATTGGGTTACGACCAAAAGCTAATTGTATCCAGCTCTCACTTTTGCCTAATGTTTGGCAAGCAGTGTTTTCATATGACCAAGCACTTCTCTGCTGTACCTTCGCCTTCTCTAGATCGCTAACTCTAGCCTGATAAGCCACAGATAAGTGAGCCACAGCCCACTTACTAAGATACATTTTGTTATAGGTTTAAAATATAAATAACTAGTTGAAGAGACAAAGAAACAGTGGGCATTGAAAACAGAGGCTGAAATTACTCTACCAGGGACATTCAAAGATCATCTGTTGCTAGCTACTTCTCTGGCCACAGCTGAGGTAACTTCTACTTGCCATGACAAATCACTGTCTTGTGAGGCTATTTTTGAGAAGATGACAACTTCGTTCACTCCCTTGCCTGCCTTAATTGTCCAAGGAATGATGCAAGAGCAAAGAGGGGTCAGTTAAGAAGGAGAATTTTACCAACAGCGGTATGCTGGTGAACGGGCTGTCCAAGAAAAAAGAGCCCTGACCTGTGGTGTTTGACAGTTCCCATGGTATAAATAGCCTTCCCATGGCCTGCTTCAAGAATGGCAGTATTTAATAACCAGGTTGAAAAACTTCTGAAAATGTACGAGTCAGCTCTCATGAGCCAGTGCCAGCCCACTGCTGCTTATAACTTAACAAAGCTCAATACCACCCAGTATCCATAAATATATGTGATATGACCTAAATTTCCTGAGAAGATATACAAATGCAAGAGGAACAAGGCATTGATTAACATCTTTGGCCATACGGCTAATCGGCCGGTGTTTAAAAAACACTAACAAACTTGGGCTCACTCTTCATGGCGGCCAAGACATAGAAACAACAGAAGTGCCCTTCGATAGATGACTGGATAAAGAAGATGTGGTACCTATATGCAGTGGAATATTACTCAGCCATAAGAAGAGATGAAATAGCGCCATTTGCAACAACATGGTTGATTCTTGAGACTATTGTGCTAATCGAAATAAGTCAGACAGAAAAGGTTGAGAACCATACGATTTCATTCATTCATAAGACTGAAAGCAACAAGCAAACAAGCCAAATAAACAAAAACTCACAGACACAGATGACAGTATAGTGGTTACCAGGGAGAAAAGCGGGCGGAGGGGGTGGAAAAGGGTCAAGGGGGTCAAATACACAGTGACAGAAGGAGACTTGACTTTGGGTGGTGAACACACGATGAAACATACAGATGATGTATTATAGAATTGTACACTGAAACCTGTATAATTTTATTAACCAATATCACCCCAATACATTTAACATTTAAAAATTACCAAAAAAAAAGGAATTTGGCCTCCAGTTTAGCCCACTCCCAAGCAATTTTTGTTGCACACAATACAAATATTTTTAAATTAGCTCGATATGTGATATTATTAATTAACATATTGCAAGTATACTATTTTTACAAATATCCATAAATATTTTAAATTGAGTTAACAAGTAATCATATATAGCTTTCAACAAGAACCCACAAGCAGCTTATTAATTTAACAGAGTTGCAAACCTCAGGCTCTTACATGGGACTGAATTTTTATACGTCAACACAGTTGGCTAGGACAGGCTCTCCCAAGTGAGGAAGGGGGTTCAGTCGGAATAAGGCCTGAGCAACACCCTGTGCTCCCCGCTTCAGGCAGGGAAGGAAAAGAAGTTCGCTGAGAAAGGAAAGGTCTGCTGTGGCTTCACTGGGCTGAAAGGGAGTCTGCCTCCTGAAAACTGAATCTGCTGAACTTCATAGCCTTATACTATACCAACTCTAAAGCTGAGACAGTGTGATTGAGAACAGTGGGAACCCATCAGCCCCATTCATCGCTAGTTCCGTGGGTTGAGACAAGCTACCTAGGCTCCATCTGCCTCCGTATTCTCATTGCTACAGTTGTGCCCCAAATACCCGCCCCATTGACTTCATGGAGTTGCCACGTGATACATGAAAGCACTCTGTAAGCTGTAGAGAGCCAGCTGCAAATATGAAATCATTACGTGACATTCTACAGCACGGGTAGCACCGATTTCTGGGGTGAGCTCTTGTGACACTAATGCTTACTCTGTCTTTACCATTGACGATGTTTAGATACAAACACAGATAGTGAGTTCTTGTGAAGCCCTAGCTAAATGTGCAGAATGACCCCTTTGACCTACTGGCTTTAAAAAGCACCCTGTATCCTAAGAATGATGAAATCAAGGGAAATTCCCAAATAAAGTGCATTCCATTCTCTGCAACCTGTGCCTCTGTCTCAATAGATCCCTAGAGTGTTCTCTATCTTCTAAAATTATCATAAATAAAGTGGGGTGTTGTTGACATATCTGTGGCCACCCTATTGATCTCACTACTCTTTATTAGGAGAGTCTCAGAACATGGGAGAATGGGAAGAAAAAGTGAAACGACCCAGGAATATGAGAACAAGGCCAGACCACTGTCCTAAATCCTTTCTGCATACTGATAAGATTCCCATTATTCCACCCAGAGACTCAAAGGTTAGACAAAGACTCTTTGAAAAGCTTCTGTCCTCTAGCCACCCATATACATTTTGTCATGTGTGAGTAGTGTCTTTGCCAACCCAATGTCTGGTAACCAAATGTCTTTGGCCCTTCCTCTGGGTCTCTTTCGGATAAGCAGGAGAGATGAAAATTCACATGCAGAGCAGTTCTGTTTGTTGTGTTGATTTGTATGCCCAGACAAACTGTAAGCATTGAGAATCTGCCTCCTCCAACCCGCCCACCAGCATCTCCGCGTGTGCCGAAGGAAAGGAGGAGACCGAGTCAAGACTCTAGGAAATGAAGTGGGGGGGTTGCTAGCATTAAGATCCCCCAGTACGTGCTATTTTCTAGAACCTGATGTTCAGAGTTGAAGATCAAGTCTATCACATCTCCAGCATGTAATTCATACGTCCCTCCTACATTTTGGATCTTAGTGTTGTCTGTTAGAGTTTGTATGATGTTTTCGTTTTTACGTAGCCGCACCTCAAAAGGAGCTGGTTCCTTGTAGCTTGTATTGGGAGCCACTTGACCATAAATTACATACAAGCCTTTCTCAAGTATCTCCAGCTTCCAGTCAGCTCTCTTTTTCACGCAAGAAGGCTTAGCAGATGCCATTTGCCATTTTGAAGGTGATGGTCCTATAAGAATTTTACAAGGGAGAAAAAAATGAAAAGCATAGTTATATAATTACTTCATCATCTTCTTAATTATAGTTCTTTCTTACTTACAGGTTGTTTCTTTACCTGGCCTACACTAGTTTTCTCCAACCATAATTCGAATATATTAAGTATCTATACATTCCTCGTTTTAGAGAAATTGCAAATCCTAAGTGTGTTGCTTGCTTGGAAAGCTCTAAGGAAGTGGATTTGGAATAGAAAAATGGTGTAAGTTTTAGGTGGCACTCATCTCTTGTTGATAAATATTTGTGAAAGGAAAGAAAAAAGGAGGGAAGGAGAGAGGACTCACACACCAGGATTGTGATAACCTGGATTGGCAGTCCAGGATGTATATTCATGTTTTTCTATGTAAGTGCTACTTACTGTGTATCAGTGAAACCTTCCTTGATCAGTGAAACCTTCCTCATTAATCTATATAAAATAGTGCTCCCCCACCTCCCTTTACCCTGCTTTAGTTTTCTGCATAGAGTGTGTCACCAGCTAGCATTTTCTAAATGAAGTTGTTCATTTGTTTATTGTCTGTCACCCCCTCGAATATACTATCTTGGAGGACAAATCCTTCTCTATTTTGTTCATTGCTGTATCTTCAGCACCTTGTGTGTGCATCATGTCTAAATTGTGGCTTTTCCCATCAATTTATGGGTATATGTCATTCGAGATCCGCTCAGGATGTCATTATCCAAACCCTCCCAAAATAGCTACTGATAAATTCATGAGTTTGTAAATGGAAATTATTTGACTGTTTAAATAGAAGCATCCCTAGCTTAATGATGTCACAGGGGTAGGAAAAGGATCAAGACTTTTAGTCATTTATTTTCATAGGTTTATATGGGATTTACAAATTTTCCTGTTGTTAGTTGTTTGTACACCGTAGTGTGATTTCAGAGCCCCAGGAGGTGTTTTTACCACACAAAATACTTATCTGGCCTGTTTTCTAGTTCTCTATAATTTTTGTTATGGGAGCAAAGCCTTTATCCCATAATTAGAAAGAACCCTTGGTAAGATAGTACCCTGGATGAGGAAACATGTTGACTTAAATTCTTATTTATATATAAATGACTGAAATAAGGCTCTGAGTATAGACTCTGAAGGAGAATAAAGGAGCAATAAAGAAGCAAGAAGCAAATCCTCCCTCTACATCCAGTGATCCCAAAGCCTAGCAAACTTGTCCTTTCTTGACACGTAAGAGGCAAATCACCAGAAGTGCCACAGGTTCTCATATTTAATTCTGTGATACGGGCCACTTGAAGACCACCTTAGCATCACCAGAGGCCCTCAACTTTTACCATATCAAGAGGAAATTTCAAACACATCATGAGTTCTACTCCATTCACCAGAAAAGCAAAAACATTTCACAAAGGCAGAGACAAGTAAAAAGAGATTCCTTAATTCCCGCTAGCCTGGGTAGCCTGGCAGTCTGACTTGTGCAGGGAAACAGGTTGCAATTAACTCTACAAATGTTCTGCTCTCTGCTGAAAAAGTGTTTGGCCTGAAACCTGTAAACAACCCCAAAATGGATTATTTTCAATTTTGTATGTATTCTAAGAAATACCTGAAGGCTCGATTTAACTGCAGACTTTAACATGCTTGCTAAGCAAATACCAGATCTCTATAAAGGAAAGTAACTCAGAAACTAAGAGGAGAGGAGAAAGCAAGTAGGCGTCCTCTCCAACTCTTGTTCCTTTTCTGTATATTTAAACAAAAATGGCACCCACACATGCTCTCTCTCTCCTGGACACCAGCAATATGTGAAATGGGAGAAGGACCTTGAGTCTATCAGAGAGAAAAGTTGTAGAAATCTGAAACATGTGCTCATTAAAACCCAGAATTAAAAGTAGATTTCTGGATCTCAGATTCCTAGGCCTCTAAGAGCGATGTACATTCCAGCTCAGAGACGTGACCTTGAATGTAAGCTTCATCAGGGCATGGGCTGGTCGGTCTGGTTGACGTCCGAAGCCTCAGCTCCTAGCCCACTGTTTGTCACGTGATAACCAGTTATAAATAGTAACCGAAGAAGGAATAAAATAGAATAAAGTCTTCGTTGACAGCACAGGAACTTGCCTTCTCGCATCAAATGCTAAGAAAGACAATTTACTCACCAAACTTAGCAACGCAGGTCTCATTGACAGTCTGTAAGGAAATAAAAAGGGAAATTGGTTAGGATGACGACAGCATCACAACTTGAGAGCTTCAGATTGCTGAAGCAAACTTTTTATCCCAGCTGTATAAAAAAGTTCCTCCCTTCACCCTGTCTCAGCTCTCTCAGCCTCCCTCTACTGACGGCTGGTTCTCTTCTTTACCCTTCATTACTTAGCTATCCTTTTGAGCCTTCTGGCAAAAGTCATGGTCTCATTCCATCCACCTAACCTCTTCTCACAAGACAGCACTTTCATCTCGGGATCTCCTCCTCTCGAGCTACAGAAATTTTCTGTAAACAGTGCTCTCCACACCCCAAGGACTGCACAAGCTGATTTTATTGGCACGTGAGAAGAAAATAATAGGATTCATATTTATGTTTATTTTTATTTTAAATAATAAGAAATTAAGCTATAGGAATATTCACAAACTCAGGTTGACAAAGCCACCCTTATTTAATATTCTGACAATCACATGTCACATACAGTAACTGATATACCTTGAGGAGAGCTTAGTTTCAAATTTTTGAAACATACCACAGTTTATATGCTACAAGAAGCCATCGGTGTGGTCAGTTTTATAAATACAAGTAGTTAAGTGCTAAATGCTTTAAATACTTGTAGTAAAATAAGGTATAACTACAAAAAAAATTGTACTATGTAAAGTTCATTGGTTTCCTTGTGGCAAAGTGCTTAAGAGAATTTGGAACTTAAAGCTGATGTACATTTTTTATCTGTAGGATTTGTCTGTCTGCTATGCTAGAAATAAATTAAAGGGAGGCAAGGACAAAAGCAGTGAGACCAGCTAAGAGATCATTGTAACCATCTAGGCAGTAATGTACGGTGCCTCTGACCAAGGTTCTAGCAGTGGAAATGATAGTAGGTGATTGGAAATAGAGGCAACAGGAGTCCTTATACAGATATGGGGTGAGAAAATGAGAAGAGAACACTCCAAGATTTGGGGCACGAGTGGTTGGAGAGATAAAATTGTTAATCAGTTAAACGAGTGAGACTTAAAAGGAGATGCTGGGGGCAGGAAACACGAGTTCATTTTTGGACATGTCAAGTGCGTGAGGCTTATTAGACATCCAAGTAGGAGAGTGAACTAGGCCATCAGACCTATGAGGATGGCAGTTTAGGAGTTCCGATGATATGAATTTGGAGTCTTCAGCTTCTATGTGATGCTTGAAGGAAGACATGAGACTGTGTGAGGTCATCAAGTCAGTGAGTGTAGGTAAAGAGAAGGATTGGGATACTGCAATGTTTGGAGGTCAGAGAATGAGGAAGGACCAGCAAAGGGGACTCGGAAGGAAAGGCCAGAGAGTCAGAAAGGAAACAAAGAGAGTGTGATATTTGAAAACCAAGAGAAGAACATATTTCAGGGAAGAGGAGTGATCAGCTGTGTCAAATGCTCTTGATGGGTCAAGGAAGAAGAGGACAGGGAACTGACGATGGATTTATCAACATGGCAATCACTGGGTCTTTGACAAAAGTAGTTTTCATGATATGATGAGGACAGAAGCTTAATTAGAATGGATTTAAGAGTAAATTAGAAAAGAGAAATTGGAGGAGTTTTGCTGTAAGGGAGAATAGAAAAATTTAGTGGATCTTGGGTGGGGATGAGATGCTTCTGTTTGTTTCAATGTGAGAAAAATGACCTCGTGGTTACCTGTTGCCATTGGATGGGAATGTTTCAGTAAAGTGGAAAGGTGAGAGCTAGGAGATCGTTGTTGAAGTAATGCCCTTGAGTAGGTAAGAGGGGACCGAATCTAGTTCATAAGTGGCCTTCGATAGGTACCTGAACGATTCACATGATATACGTGGACAAAATTGCAGGTGAGCGGTAGATACGGTAGGGAGCTTTGGAACTTCTTCCCCGCCTGCTGCTGTTTTGTCTCAGAACCTGGAGGCAAGGATATCAGGTGGAAGAATGAGGGAGAGACGTTGCGTGTGTAAAGAGAAGTCAAAGGAATGAATGAGTCTACTAGAGAAGAAATCATTGAATGGAGAAATCATAGGTTGTTTACAGAGCAGTGCCGAAGTCCCACTTGAAGTGAGTGGCCATAAATTTAAAGTAAGACCTTTCCACAAAGTCTTTTTTTCCTCAGCTACATTCAACTGTGAAAGGCACAGACTTTCTAGGATCGAGGTTTCAATATGAGTATAAAGAGAGAGAGTAACGAGTGAGTGGGTTAATGCAAGGTAAGAGTTATCATTATAGATCGTGGAGTTTAGGTTGTGTAAGGAAGGAAGGAAAGGCGTGAATTGAGAGAGGGACAATGTTATTTTAACTAAAAATAACAATAAAAACTGTACCATTGAATTAAAAAATTCAATGTCGTAACACGGTAAGCACACTCAAAGATACGTTCTTCCTTTCTTGCGAGGTAATACATTTCTTTGTGAGGCTAATTTTCCAGTCATGGTTGTCAAAACCAGGAGTCAAGGTAAATTCGCTTAGAATATAACCTTCAAATGATTGTCTCACATAACCTTCAAATGATTGTCTCACAAAGTGTTACCAAAAGAAACATATTTCTGTTTCTCTACTAAATTACTCTACTAAAATATTATTTCAATTATTTTAGAAATGTGTGGTCTATATTAACACATTCTAGAACATATAGCATTTTGGTAGCAAAATATAGCAAAATGGCTTTGTACTGTAAATAAACTACATTAAGCATATTATTTGATTCATCCTCATAACCTTCTATTCTGTGTATCTTTTTAATATGCATAGTATTTACCTTTGTATATGATTTATCAGGATTTAAATAAAAAAACATTTTGGTTTCAATGGGATACAATCGAAAAGTTTGGAAGCCGCTATTCTAGGATAAATCACTGGATTCCAATTGTTTTTGCTCTTGCAATTATTTCATCTTCATTTGGGGTTTTCTTAGAAGAGATGTTGAAATTCAATCTGGTTCAACCCATGGTAGGCATGTGATAGAGAGTCCCTGAACTTCAGTTTCCTCATTTATAAAATGAGAAGAAGAATAGCACCTAGCTCATTGAGATTGGTGATGGTATAAATGAGGTAATTCTTATGAAAGGCTTTACTCAGATATTCTGTCTGACTCTGATCATTAAATATTAGCTGTGTTGATGATGATGCTGATTTTAATAAAGAATCGAGTAAAACTTTAAGCACCTATATTCATACCACTACTACACTAGCATTGTAAGCAAGAGAAACAAATGTAATTTATGGTCCTTGCCTCTTAGGAAGTTTATTATCTTTCTAGAAAGACAAGGTCGCACACATGTAGACACTGGGTGACAATTTAAATATAAATCAATACCACAATATGAGCCACAGCAGGATCTGTGCTATCTATTCCCATGTGTAAAGAGTGTGGAGAAACGTAAGGCCACAGACTAATTAATTGCCAGAGACAGAAATCCTGGATACTGTACCATGGGCTGCTGTAATGTCTTTTTAGAACTACAGAACTCATTACTGCCATATTCTCTAGTTATTATCACGAATGAAAATCTAATCGCAAAAATCTATTTGGCAGTAAGCTACAGCCTTTGGTTGAGAAAGTAAAATAGATAAGCAAGGAATACCCATATCGTTAAAGTTTTTTTAAATTTATCTTCACTCCAGTGTCATGAATAATAGTAGTGCAAATATGAATCACTGCAATCTACTGGGAGCTTATTATGGGAGCACCGTCCTACCTCACTGATCCTTAGCACAACTCTAAAACGAGAATGTGCATGCTCACTTGCAGATGAGGAAATGAGTACAGAAGTATTAAGCTGATAAACAGCCAGGCTGCAATCCAAAGCTCATCTGACTCACAGGTCTCACCCTTCCACTCTGTGGGGCAGTTTCTATTTATAATTCTGGTAATGTTTGGAGGGAGTGAATATCCACTTATACAGAATCATCTGGGACTTTTGGCTTGATTTCATTTGCTTCATTTTTGCTTAGAAGAATCAGATGATTGTGTGACCCCCATTTGATTTAAGCCAAGATTGACATTGTTGGCTTCAAATGGCAAAAACTGAATGCTTCTTTCTCTAGGCCAACCTTAATCAGATCATCCTTTGGAAATGGGATCTACTCTGCTTTTAAGCAGAAGCTCTGCTTCCTCTTTTGGAAGTAGCCTTCATCCCACGAAGGGAGGGACCCTCCTGGTCATGTGGTTCCTTAAGGACAACTTCTACGAGGTGATTTTTAACTGAAGGGTAGACCTCAGAGCACATCCTCTCAGTCTAATATCTTCTGAAAGAAGCAGAGGAAATAAGAAAAAAATTTTTTCTCCCAAGGAAATTTCTCTTGGTCTAGAAGTACCCAATCTTCCTGTCTCAAGCTTTGTGAATAGAGAAGGTGGAAAGTGGGATTTTGTATATAAAAACTAGAGGGAAAATTCGAATAACATAAACTCCAAGGTTCATGGGTATCGAGAAGGTAGAAGCAGCCCCTTCGTAATGATTCGCCATCCACTAGCCACTCAGTCCTCTTTTCCAAAATATATATTTGTG